CTGTGACTAGGAATACTTTTTGCTTTTGGCTTTGCAACATCTTCAGGGTGGTATAAAATATATTCTCATCACTTTTATGGCCACATTAGCCTCCTAAATTGCCACCAACTCCTGAACTCAATTATAACGCGTAATTGCCTTAATGCTAAGCCTTACTCCAAGTTTAATGACCCTGGAATGTAGAACGATTTAATTAGCATTTAAGTCATGACTATTTGAATGAAGATCATTCTTTTATATTCAACATTATCTACTCGAACAGTCATTTAACTGAATATCTATCGCGTCTTTCTTCCTGGTTTCCTATCTTCACACTACTCGGGGTTTATCATTGTATACGGTGAATATGGTAGATTGTTAAAAAGTGGCAGTTCAGTTATTGCTCTCTGTGAGGTAAAATAGGCGCTAATCGAGTGACGGTAAAAACTAAGAATTAACGGTATTTTGTGAAGCAAGGCCATCCTACATTTATCTAACGCAAGAAAATCTCATTTTTACTATCATAATTTATATGCGCAAAGGATAACACTGACACCGTTCAGCTCAGGCCCAGATGGTGAGGTGAAACATAGATGCAACCACTGCAAGTCGGAATTCTAATTGTTCTAAAGGCTATGCATAAGAATGCAAATTGAAATCGTAGTTTGCAACATAGCCAAATGATCGTTGAGCGTTTTTTCTCGTTAACCGCGATACTGCCACCAACGCATATTACCCGTCTGAAGGCGAAAATATAAACCAAGGGACTTTGTTTGTCGACACACTTTCAAATTTTCGCATTTTTCACCGTAAATCAAAAGCGAGATGCGCATTTAAAAGTGGTGAGATGAGAAACCACTTGTAAACTGATGGCCATAAAATCAATGATAAATTGTCAAATTATTAAACATTTTGCTTGGTGGATATTGCGAAAGTATGTCCGAAATCTTGTAGCATGCAAAAAACAATACGAGAACTCAGTCGACATGCGGTGAAAAACAGCCCGCCTGATAAACCAGGAGATTAGATGAATCGGAATTCCCACGGTCTCGGGACTTTCAGACATACCATTCCTGTGCGCTTCGATATTTATACAGCGACTAGAACGTCTTTTAATTCGAGAGATCAGTCGCTGAGACCAGATCAAATACGCTCTAACCCCCCACCCCCTCTACGCTTACATACCGCTATGAAATCTATTCAGGTTCATCCAAATTTAAGTTCTAGCCTCAGCATGGATAAATAAGTACCATTGAGCTGCTATTGTGAGAATCCTATATTTTTCACCGACCAGAAAAAGTGGTCGCAACACTTTTAACCTTGAAGATATGACCGTCATCCACTGTGCCAGTGCTATGGAGTAAGAAAATTTAGGGTGCCTGTACCACCCTCTTTAGCACAAAACTAATCAATTATTTATTAATTTACCCTGACACATCATGTAAACAAGTTACCAGAAAAACACAAGGCCACAAAGTAGTACCGCGCAAAGGATAAGATAAAATAACAAGCGAGATGGCAAAACACAGTTATCTAGTCACATGAGGTCAATACTATGTGTTCAGGGTGGGCTGGGATATTAAGGGAGAGGGATAGACCTTTATACAGATACATCTATGCCAACCGGTAATAGTGTGTACAGATACATATCAGGAGACAGAGATAGATAATTTTTAAAGAGAAAGATCATAGATTATCACGATGCTGCCACTTCCCATTCTGATATCCCTCTTTAACGTGTTGAAGCAGGACTTCCCTACGGCTAGAACAATACCTAGATGTATCTTGAAGCTTTTTTGTCAAGTCTTGAGCAGCAATCACACCATTCAGTTCATTCTCTAAAATCCTCGAGAGATTCTCCGCCGCGCGTTCCAAATCACTTTGGTTAGTCTCAAAAATGATTGCCTCATTGCTGGGTTTGAGGAAGTAGGCAAACACATATGTATACATGAGTGTTCGTCGACAAGCACATAAAACTTCCACTACATGACGAATGAATTTGACATCTATCCAATTAAAACCCTGATCCTCAAGCTCTTGCATGCGATTAGCAACCGAATCCTTTAGCGTGGCTTCTAACTTTCGAGATTGATCGTGGTTTGCATAGCGATCGTAGAAGAAGAGATAGCGGGAGAGCGCTTCACGACTTTTATCTTGTGCTTCCCGAGCCTTTTGCGCAGCAGCCTCCTTGTAGCTATTGCAGACATACCATTGAGCTCCATGTGCATCCCAACCACCCAAACACACCCAACAAAACTCATATTTGCAATTAGCGTTACGACATGTCATATGGTTACATCCGCCATTCTTCTCAATTGTCGCTTTACACCTTGGACACTCTTTAGTGTTAGCTGCTACCCAATGAGCTGTACCCGAGTCATTTTTCATCTACAAAGCAACAATAGGAAGGGCTTTACTAGAAAGAGTCAATAGATATGAAATAGAAATTTAATTAGTTTACCTTAGTGAGCCAAAGTTTGAGGTAATTGCAGAGAACGGGTTCATGCCATGGATTACCACAATTAAAGCAGAAAATCTCATGGCAATTTGAGCAAGTAATTTCAATCATTTTGCCTTCAGGCCCCATAGTTCCATACTCCTCATTAGAACAAACAGCATAGCCACAGTCTACACCTGGGCACCAAGTGAGATGACGGTGATGTTGAACAAAACTATTGACAACCAAGCGTTGAAATGCCCTGAAAGCCCGGGATTGATGGGAGATGGGATTGGAGAAGGTGGGATCAACACCGCCAGTTTGATAGTCAGATGAAGAGAAGATTGATGGTTCAAGAGAAGAGGAAAGGAGATCAGCTACACAATCATCATCAATCAAGCACTCACATTTGGGAGTCGGACAAGTGAGTTTATTGGCTTGATTATTGTTTAAAATCTTGCTCTCCAAGTACAGTGTCCAACAGTTACGGCAGTAGAAATGATTACAACCCAGGGCAAATATCTGATCTGGCAAAGGACAATGAAATAGTGTGATACCTAGACAGCATAAGTAACTAACATCATCTCAAGCACATGTATACAGGTGGGCATTGACATCATGACCTCTTACTTATCAGACATTCATGTCAATACCAGAGCTATTGGTTCACTTGACCAATAACAATAAACTCTGATATAATTTCATACCAAATGAAAATAACAGAATGCAAGCAGTTTAGGAAGAAACGTCATCATTAACCATTCTAAATCATATAGAAAAAGCACATGTTGAGGAATTCAGAAATCGAGACCAACCATAATCTAAACAAAGTTCGAATAACCAAACACAAGGATTTATATCGTGCTGAGGAGAATTTTTAAAGCAGCAAAATTTCAGCCCTTCGAAACTGAAATAAGACTTACAAATAAACTCCATCAGAACTTAGCTATGCTTTTCCTTTAGCCAATCGATTTGAGATAAACCCAAAGCGTCGTTTAAAGCATAATGGCAAATCGATTTGAGTAGTTTGTTGTTAGGAAATAAACTTCATGAAGATTAGAAGTCACTATTGGAGGACAAAACTCCACTTCATTACAAGCAAAATTACAAATTAAACAGAAATATGGAAAAGGAGATGCTTGTACGTTAGCTAGTAAGTAGTCATGACAGGTTGATCACTGCGAAAGTCTATATGGCAAAGGATTCCCGTGTAGACCCAGTGAGCAATATATACCTGGATTAAGTCTGGTAACATAATTCAATCCTGCCACCAGATTCCATTATAGCACTTTCTGCCTAGGATCAACCTTGGAAAACGTCTAGGCAAATGAACTCGCAAATTATTATCATACGTGATTATTGTTTGGAATATATCGATAATGGCTTAGGAAAAAATTATTTACACTAACAACATAAAAACACTGTCCTAAAATGTGAGGAGATTAATCGGTCAGGTCGTTCTTGGCTTAATTGATGAAAATATTGTTTTAGACATCGACAAGTCAGATAATATCACTATATACTTTAGGCTCACTGTCGCGACTGTCAAAAAACAATTTTCTGGTGATTGCCAATGCTATTTACCTAACGCAATAAGTCCTAGGCCTCAATAAGCAATCAGAACACTTGGGATGAAGGCATATACTGAATAACAAGAATTAGGCGCTGCTAGAACAGTAATATAAAGCCTCAAGTCTTCAGCTAGAATACAGCAAAATGTCAAAAGGTGTCTGGCTACAGGCCCCATTTTTTAACGTAATTAGTTATTGCAAAAGCTACAAACACAAGACTGGCAAAGAACTGTGATTTAATGAGACACGAGAGAATTAAGATCAGAACATAATAATAAATGAAATAGATTACCAGGTGGATGAAAATCACAGCAAATATCACAAGCGATTTCCCGAACATCAGAATCTAAAGAATAAAAAACCATAATGACAATCCATGAAGTATCGTTGGGCTTAGTAAACAGGAAAGTAGGCAAAAGAACCTTTTGGTGAATGGAGGTCACTATAAGACCTAAGTTTCAAAGATGGTAATTCGGTATAAGAGGGATCCAATGTAGGCAAAATTGTTTTTTTAAGGAAAGCGAGTGAATCTGATGCTTCGAAATACCGATCTGTTAAATCATCTTGGCTCCACTTGAAATGGTCGAGAAGAAGCCTGTTGATAGTCTTTGGAAGGAGAGTAATTTGCTCAACACTTTTAACATTCTCCAACATATAACGAATTAGCATTTTTGGGGTAAAAACCTAAATTGAAAAAAAAATTTAAACTTATAAAGTCGTAAACCACTGGAAAAGAATTGACAAGAATTCGCACTTTAATATGGGGTTTAACAACTTCATCGTTATTTTCGTCATCATTTACGCGTTCAAATTCATCTTCGATACCATCAGAGAATCCCTCAGAGTCACTATGAATAAGATAATCATCATGCATATCATCCATTTTCTAAAATTCGTAAGCAATGAACAATTCTTAGTCTATCGCAAGAAAATAAGAATTTCGAAATTTTCTCATGCACAAAATTTGTCTAATAAGTGAACGAAACCCACCCTACAATAGCCTATATTGACTATAGCAGTTATATAGGAAAAAAATAAGAAAGAAAGTTTAATTAGTGCGCCAAAGAAAATTATGAAAGTTAAGACCAACAAATTCGATAAACATAAGGTAAAGAGTTAGAGGTGTTATGCAAGTAAGAATAATGGACGAATTTTTACCTACGTGAGAAAAATTACGTCTGGACTTGATTGACGGAATTATGTAATATTTAGAATAAAAGAGTAGAACATATTTAAGAACAACGGAATTTTATAAATTTATTTGTACACTAAATAAACCTTTTACGCTTTACCAGAATGCATATTTAAGAAAAATATTTTATGCTTTTAATATTAAATATATGCACTTAACGATTTCAAGATAACATTTCGACAGATGGTTTTCATGGAATTAATTTATAGACTTTTATAATCCAAATTTATCAATTCTCTCTTATTATTACAAGAAACTTCAGAGCAGAAAGCTCTTATCACATATTCATACTCAATACTCCTATATCATACCATTAATCATTCTTGGTCTTTTATAATGCGCAAAATCTCAATTATTAAAAAGTTAACATTTTTAGCAAAATATGTATGTTTCATTGTATATCTTAGTGATTTGTTATTGGAGTAACTTATCTTTTTCATTTATCAAGTACTGAAAGAGAGTTTGGCATGCCTTTAATTAGATAGCCCCTTAACAATAGAAAGCAAATATAAAGCCTTCCTGAATGATGGATTCAAAATTTTCAAAAATATACCTGCCAATTATATATATCTTTAAAGATTAAATAAACATTTGTAAATACTGGTTATATCTGAAGTTCAAGCAACAAATTTTAAACTAATTACAGATTTTTGCCCAAGATGTAGACGAATTCTTTACTTAAAACAATAATAATATAAACATTTTCTTTGTATTTATTTCTTTTATAGTAAATTCAACCTTCAAAGCCTAACTTTCATCAATATCGTCATACAACATGAAAGATTATGGTAGATTACTTAAGCGGCAATATTTATTAGTATTGTTTACCCAAATGTTACACTAACAACGAATACACACATGAATTAATCGAAGCCAAAAGTTGTTCCGTTTAAAAGGCTTCTTTGTTAATGCTGACTACAAGTCAAGGCGCATTTTTTGAAGCTACAGTTATAGACCAATCAACTTCTTTTGATTTTGTCCGATGATTCGCTTTATTCTTATTCAGAACAGAGCTGGGAAAACGCGGCTTGCAAAATGGTATATGAATTTAGCTGACACAGAGAAGCAAAAATTAATAGAAGAAGTACATGCTCTTGTTACTGTTCGTGATGTGAAGCATACGAATTTCGTGGAGTTTAGGAATTTCAAAATTGTTTACAGACGCTATGCTGGTCTTTACTTCTGTATCTGCATTGATATAATGGATAATAGCCTCGCACATCTCGAGGCTATTCACAACTTTGTTGAAGTTCTAAACGAACTGTTTCACAATGTTTGTGAATTGGATCTTGTGTTCAACTTCTACAAAGTTTATTCCGTCGTTGACGAGATGTTCCTGGCTGGTGAAATCCGAGAAACTAGTCAAACGAAAGTTTTAAAGCAAATGATGCATCTCTCGGCGCTTGAGTAATGACAATTGGCAGTCTGTGCAAATCCGCATTTTCCTAATCTTGATTTCAAGTGTATGTTGTTTTTGATCTTAATTTAATGTGTATCTAATTATAGCATTTGCTTGTCAATCGCATTTGGCCTTCGTCATTTTGGAATGGTATTTTTATGTTATATTTCCCAATCTCAATCGAGTTGTAATTGTTTGCTTATGGTATTAGGAAATAATAGGGTAAATTTTAACTTTTGCGAAGTTATCTATTCTTTAGAGCAAAGTAATGCCTTTTAAGAGTTTTTGGGTTTTGAAATTACTGTTCAACTTCTAAGCACTACAGAACAATTTGTTTCTTTCTTGATAAAATCGCATTTGCAATAAATTCAGGTATGAGGGAATTTCCAATTAATTGTAAATACTGCTATGACCTCGATAAACCTGTAAGGTCATTAAAGAGTGACAAGATATAGTGATGGAACTCAATAGTAACTGATCAGGTACTCCTTCACAGAGCCGTCTATTTTAATAAAGACTTATGGAAAATTATAGCCTTTAGCAAAAAAAATACTAAGAGGACGTCAGCTGTAGTTGGCCAATTCTGTGTTATTTGTCTGTGGTTTGGGCAACCAGTAAGATAATAACCACTAGTCAATGGAAATAATTCAAGCAACGGCCTAGCAGGGGTGTTTAATAGAACAAAGAAATTCCTCCCACGGATTACAAATGGTCAACGATTGAAATACGAATATTAATAATTTAATTGAAACGATAGTACTTTAACACCGTTGCAGTTTTCCAAACTTTAATTTACACAGACGCACGTGTTTTATCCAACACGATTAGCCGCTGTGTTACCTAATAATTGGTAAAGGGGGAAATTAACTTCCAAACGTGCTAGAAAGCCCGATCAATCCTATTGATACTAAGATATATATTTTTAAAAATAACTTTTTGAAGAAGTGATTATGTACAGGAGTGTTGCTTTACATTCTTTACAACTACGGCCACAGCCATTTTGGACAATTTCTGAGCTGGAATGAGCCGATGGCAGGGGTCGGAAATATTTCGTTCACTTTTGCCATTACATTGACCTGATGAAGATAATTTCCCATGTTTAGACTTCTGTTTAGGAAGACTTGGGAAGGATTTGCGCTGAAATGTGTCTGGTCTGCGTTTTTTCTCTAGGTGGCGCTTCTTGCGACGACTTGGGAAAGGAGTTTCAACGGCAGGAATTTCTTGTTCGGGAGTTACAATAACTGACGCTTTTGGTGGATTATTCGAGTCCTCAACTAATTCATGTAGACTAAGAACGATGGCCATCGCGGGCTTATTCTAAACGTAAAAGCGTCATAAGCGAATGAGGCTAAATGCTTAAATGAAACAATAAATGAAATTTTACCGCTTTCACCAAATACTCCTCAACCCTGGATTGTGTAAGATGGAAGAATAAACGTGTACACTGATAGATGATTGAAGAACCAACTTTAGTATTCCAAATGGTCTTAATCTGTTCAGCTAAAGGGACCACTTTGTCAATAGCACCGGGAAGACCCCAACAAAATATTTGTCCGGAGAAGTTTGCATTAATACGATTTGAGACGTAATCGACCAAATTCTTGATTTTCGAACCAGGCTTGACTTGCATGTGAATAGCACCATCTCTCAAAAATCCAAGAAGCCTAGACTCAGCAAGAAGTGTTGATACAAAGGATTCATCCATATCTAAAAATTCAAAGGGGCGAATAATTATATTACCCAAGTTTGGCATTAAAACTTTGCGAATAAAAGACAAAAATTGATAAAATAGAAAAAAAACGTGAGAAACTAGTGCAAATACGCATACGAATTTAGCAATTACATCAATGTACGAAAGGAGAGAGTGAGCATATGGGTTCCCCGCAAAAGTCTAAGCGAAACGAATTTGGCTATCACATGTTCGTTAGATTAAATAATTGTTTGCAACACGTTATCGTTTAAAGCAAAAAAAAGACATTAAAATAGATTAGCTTCTTCTCAGCATAAAATTATGGAAAATGTAATTTTGTCTAAATTAATGTTGACATTTTTAGTGCGTTTTTGGGACAAATATGATAATTAAATGAGATTCCTGTTCATGGTTATTACATGAATATTCCTTAAAGATCTAGTTCTGTGTGCAAAACTTTGCAATCATTATGAGGTTTTTGAAACTAATACATTCGTGGAAATATTGCATAATGTATGGTTTATATCAAGAGAAAAATCTTGAGGAAAAATGAAGTTTCATTTAAGTGTCATATCTGACAACATAAACCATTTTGGTTCTAAAAAATCGTTTAATTAAGCAAATTTTGAAAGTTTTAGTCCAGGCATGGGAAAGTTAAACAGAATTTAATTACTTTCCTTTTAAACAGCTACAGATTCGGAAAACTAAGTGTTTGTATTTTTTCAAGTTTCATGATAATTTTGAACTAGTCTGTGAAACGAAACAAACATATTTTTCGACTTTCACATCCAGTCTTCTACCGGCAAGATATATATTTGAAATATTTCAATTCTTGAAAGAGATAAAGCAAACTAAATAATGGGCATTAAGAAATAGCTATTGTAAAAACCACCTCCTTCAATTTTTATTACTGTGTGTTTAATAAATTATGGAAATGTGACACAAAAAAGTAATTAACATTTATTGCCAAGTAATTGTGGCATCGATTAAATTCCGAAATTTAAATAGTAGGTGATTTTTCAAATTTTGCTTTATAATTCCTAGTATTGCGTCAGGAGTATGTGAGAATTTGGGAGGCTAAAAGGATTTAAAAAGTGGCAAGAATAGCTTGTTTTTCGCCCTGAAAATGTTGCAAAGCCAAAAGCAAAAAGTATTCCTAGTCACAG